CCCTGAAGATCCTTATGAGCAGTAGAGAACATATACTAATTAGCAAGGTTTTCCCCACTTGAGAATTTTCCAGTCTTGTATGAGGGTCCAGTAGAGTGGAGAATACAGCAGTATCCTCTGAGTAACCTAACACTACAACTGTACTTTGAGAAATGGATGTAGTGTGAATTCTGTTGAGGACCTGTGTTGTGTTAGAAGACAAAGATCTTGTTCTGGGAATGAAATCTAGGATTTTCTGGATGGTGGATATAAAATTTACCAAGCCATCTACAGAAAGTCCTGTCTGGGCTTATGGACATCTCTATAGTTCCGATTTCCCTCCTTCCCCCCCGCCCCCCTGCCCCCGGCCAAGGGAGATGCCTTGCTGACTCACCTCTTTTGCTGATCTCACCATATGTGGGCTTTTTTATCACTTTCCCTCTCCCACTTATTGAAAGTTGTACCCTTTCATAGAGGATGAAATGGGAAACTTTGGACCTTCCTGGATTCATGGCCTTCTTCTATCAACACTCTAGATCTCTAACACTGTCTCCCTCCTGTCTCCTTAACCTCATAACCTCTTTTCCAGTCACTGGAAGAGATTAGAGGGGGCAGGGCCACCTATACAGGTTTTTTTTTTTTTTTTTTAAATAACAATTTTTTTTATGATACTGTGGATTGAACCCAGGTTCATTTAACCACTGAGCCACATCCCCAGCCCTTTTTATATTTTATTTTGAGTCAGGGTCTCACTAAGTTGCTTAGGGCCTCACTAATTGCTGAGGCTGGCTTTGAACTTGCCATCCTCCTGCCTCAGCCTCATAAACTGCTGGGATTACAGGCGCGCACTACTGCACCTCGCCCACCCAGGGTTCTTTTCAAGCTTTTGAAAGAAAAGGCTACTACAGCCAGGAGACAGGATGTGTCAGCACTAGGAAAATGTTAGGCTTTCTCCTAATACTTATTGGTTAAATGAAGATAAAGGAGCACAATATTTAGGTGAGGTATGACTTTGTGTTGGAGCCAAGATGGAGGATGAGAACTGTCTTATTTGATATTCCACAATTCATGGGATACAGAGAAAGGTTATCTTCTTAAGATGTCTTGTGCTACAATGTGATTCCTTAATACCTTATTTCCACAATCAAATCAAAGAAGGTAGCAGACAAATCATCTTATTTAAAAATTATAATAGCAGAACAAAAAGCACAGCTATTTACTTTGCCTAAAATTATAACACCAACATAAGCATTTCTATGACACTTGGTCTCACAAAATAGAATTGTCTGACCTTGTCCTGAAAGAAAGAAAAGACACCACAACCAGCTCTTTAAAGACTACTTTTTAAAAATATGTGATGAAATCCAGAAGGGGCTTTTATCTCATAACACCCATACCAGAAGATTAATCTCTGTGGCTGGCGTCTCGTTCTGATTGGGAATATGTTTGAGCCCAGCTTTGGAATCCTCTCTCTTCAGAACATCTGCTCCACAGTTGTTAATGTTTGTTTGGTATTGCCCCAAAGAAGGCAGCAGAAGGGAAGAATTCTTAACAATGAGTCCCAAGATAGATTAGACCAGCAGCGGTGCTTATTTTGAAAAGGCATTTTTTGGGAGCAATCTGACCTGTACATGAAAAAAAATACACAGGTCGTTGGACTAAGAGATGGATGTCCATCTAATGCTGGAATGTAGTTTAGCTTGTTTTTACCACTTCTCAAAAATTTCCCAGAAATATTTAAATTATTACTGCATTCCTCACTAGCAGAACTTAGTTTTTGAATTTTTACAGATTTGAATGTCTAACTCTAAACTAAATATAAGAGAGACTTTTACAGTATTCTAATAGAAGTATGCAAAGGTAAAAAAAAAAATTCCTAGCTGTCTTAAAGAGAAAGTCTAATGTTACTTTGGTCTATCATTTGTAAATTTCTATACCAGTCAAGAGGAGAACTGTCAATCCTTTAGTTCCATGAAACTGGGCTAAATTACTTGATAAGAAAGTAAAATATCTCCTTAGTTTCCTAAAATGAGGACAAAGTACTTCTTACTCCTGCATTTGTGGAGTAAAAAATTATACAGAAGACAAAACTCAAGTTATTGTGTGATGTTTCCAGGAGAGATCAGAGTATAACTCTTCTGTCAACAATGTCATCTTGAAGTTATTCTTACCACACATTCAAGAGTTCTAAGGGCGACAATGTATTATGACTGAATTTTCACTTAGTGAAAAACCTTTGAGACCTAGCATTTGAAACCATAGAAACAGCTGGGTTTAGGTTCAAAGCTCCAAAATTAAATTGAAAGAGGGAAAGACCCTAATCCTTCAGACCATCTGTTCAGAAAACAGTGAAGGAAATGACAACCAAGCCTTCAGCTGGGAACAGTAATGCCCTCCCAACTGAAATCCGCAAGCCCCTTTTCCCTGCCCACTTTCAACTGGTCCTCTCAATATCCCAATGAGGTCTATCAAGCTAATGTTTTTATCCTCATGTTACAGATAAAGAAACTGAGGCTTAGAGAAGAATCTTACTCCATGTCACACCAAACGTCATTACAAAGGGCAGGACTTCCACCTAGCTGACCACTTCCAAAATCCTAAAGTTATATTATATTCCTCTGTATCAGCTTCCGATCCCCATTCTTCCTTCCTAACCTCCTTCCTTTCTTTTCTTCTTTCCTTTCCTCCCGCGTTAATTAGGATGCTTCTGTAGTAGCAGATGTTGCTAGTGTTCACATAAGAAACGTTTTTATCCATGATGGCAGGAGGGCTAACTATTCATAGAAATCTACAGCAGTGGCATTCATGTCAGCTTTATAGTTCTGCCTTATTTCTTTACTGTTTCTATTGATAACAAAAACTTTATGTATCATGTAAAGCATAAAACAACACATTACAGATCAGGGCTGACCAGTTTTTGCCAGATAACTGTGTGTGTATATGCTGCAGGGTTTTTGCGAAATGTCTTACCCAAAACAAACCACATGCATTGCCCAGAGGAAGGGTTCTGTTAAGCCCAAAGGTGGCCAATCTGAGAAAGGAGGTATTGGTGAGGCCAGGCAGAGCAAAGGCATGAGGGATTGGGAGGTGCGTGGTTGGGCAGGTGTAACCCTCAGACAAAAAAGTTTTGCTGATCTGAAGACTTAAGCAGCACTGGTTTTCAAATTTATCTTTTTGAGCATAAAATTCTTTGTTCAGATTAATGTCATCCAAAGCATTAAAACCAACAGCACTGAAGAAGCAGAGCTCTCCAGAAGCAGGGGATAGAACCCTAGGCTCCAAGGCCTCTCTAAGACCCTAGCTATGGGAATAGCATAGCACAGATTTAAGGTTATTGGTACTTAAATATGCCTTAAAATAATCAGGCAAAACCAATTTCTTAGTATTAAAGTCTGGGCCCCATAGCAATCATTTTGTCAAGAGCTCCTAAATCAAGTCCACTCCAACTCAGGGATTTTAGAGAGAAGAGACAGCCAGCAGGGATTCCTCTCCTTCCTAGAAACCCGATTACTTATCTTCAGAGCTGAGTTTACCTTAAGTAGGACAGGGGCTTTGAAAATAGATTTGGCTTCCTAACCAAATTGCTGGGGCTTATTGGATTGCTGTGGGCCATGTTCAGTTTATTCTGACAAAAGATAACATTTTTAAACAGAGAAAATTATTCTCAAAAGCTTCCCTCTGTGCTGCACTGAAAAACTGATCATACTTGATATTCCTTTAACTAATCACTATTTTCAAAGCCCAGTATTTTTGTGCTCATTATCTTTTCAGAGCCCCACCCCCTGAGACGAGCTGGATAGATATCACTCTCCCATTTGAAAGATAAGGAAATGAAAGCTGAGAAATATGAAAAGACTCTCTCAAGGTCACTTATGACTAACATTAAGTTTTCTGATTCCTGTCCAGAGCTTTAAATATGCATGGTGTGTACACAGACCTTCCATCCTATGCGAAGGTAAATAAAGGTCACAGATTTAGTGTTACCAGTTCTCTATCCTTGGGGAACATCAGTGACCTCATTATATTGTAGATCTAATAATTACCTGCCTCATCTACTTCACAGGATATTGAAGAATAAATGAGATGGTCTGGTAAAGTACATGCTAAGGGTCAGGTACACGTCTTTCTCTCCTACCCCAATATTTTGGCAGGTTCCCTATCCTATTAACTTGGACCTCACTTTTCAAACCAAATGAAATTCGTTTCACACTCTCTGTTGGTATATTGCAAGTCTTACCAATGTCGGCAGCTGGCCATTGGCCAGAGCAGACAGCTGGCTATGCTTTTGCACAATCTCAAACCAAAGCTCTTTTTCTTTCCATGTCAGAGATCTGAGGATGCACTGCCAAAGGTTTCTAAGGCTTCTTTACCAAGGCTGTAAGCACTGAGGATCAGGCTGATGCTTAAGAAGGACCTCAGGGGAGAGAGCAGGAGGGAAGTGGGCTCTTTGTGGGGTCATCACAAGCCATGGTTTTGTCTTCTCCTTGGCATAATTGGAACCCAAATTTGCTACATTCACTGAGGGGGAAGCTGTTTTCTCCAGCTAAATTTAAAGGGGATGATTTTGTAGAGTCAGATGGCAATTTAATAGTTTTTTAAAAATAGGAGTTCAAAATCAGGTCTGGGCTTTTTATAGATGGAGGCCTCATTGGAGAGAGCAAGCTGCAGACGATAAAATTTGTTTGATGAGAAAAAAATCAGAGTAAAGAAAGTTGGACTAATTGAGGGAATATGCATGCTTTGATAAAATGAAAAATCCTTGTTTCTTCAAAGTATAACCATTATACATGTTCCTTATTACAAAAAGAAATTCAGACAACACAGAAACATATCAGTGCATGCAGAATAAAGAGAAAAGCATCTATTCAGAGGAAACTATGCTTATGAGTCAATCCTTCCAAGCTTCCTTCTATATGTAGTTAAAATGGAATTATACTGTACAGGCAGTTCTGTGGACTCTTTTTACTTAGTGTGTTCTTGGATATCTTTCAATGCCATTATATATATGTATTTATTTATTTTAAAATATGGAAAGCTTCACTAATTTGCATATTACCCTTGCATAGGGGCCATGCTAATCTTTTCTGTATTGTTCCAATTTTAGTATATGAGCCGTCACAGTGACCACCATGTCATGCGTGTAACTAGCTGTATAAAAAGGATATTCTTCTCAAGCTGTGAGGTAGTCTTACAAATCCTCTTCCCTCCTTCCCTCTCAGGGATCCCTGATGCTACATGGTTCTGAGAAACTCACTTACCTATTTTTTCTGGCCAACATGAACAGGCAGCCAGAAAACACCACCGGCCAGCTGCATCTTCTCAGGCAAATGACTTTACCCTCCAGGGCCTCAGGTTCACCATGGTTTAAATAAGAAGTTTGGATAGAGATTTTCTAATATTCTTTCATCTCTAAGATGTCATATCAGCTTCTAGTTCATGTATCTCTGTGTTTGCCTTGGCACTGGATAATCCTGGCCCTGTGTGAAAGGGGGCCCCGTGGGGAGCCCCAGCTGTGCACCTGGATGATGCACTTGAAGCCCAGAAGAAACTTTGCTGATAGCAGATGGTTGAAGCTGGCAGGGCTGGGGGGAGGGGGAACAAGGTTGTATAGAAGAGTTACATTAGGGAGAGCAGCTCTCCTGACTTCCTGCCAATATGGCAGGGGGTGATGTCTATACGGAGGCATCAAATTCATAGCATACTTGACAGCCTTTGGGGCCTTTAATTTGCTTTTTGTTTTAAAGCCTCTTGCACACATTATCTTATCTAATTATTGATCCTCATTTTTAGATTCAAAATCAGTGTTGATTTGCCTAGGACCACATGACAATTATTTGCAGAATGAAGCCTCAAATCAGTGGGTTTTTCCTGCACCTCCACAGTTTCCACAGTGATGCACATAAATACGTGACAGATAAACACATGTGCAAAATGTCCACATAGAACGTACTCTTCCACTCTGTGTCATCATAGACCTGAGACCATATGACCCTTCCCTGGACTCAGTCTTTCATTCAACAGATATTTATAACCATTTTTCTAGGCACTGTTACACAGTTCCTGAGCTCATGAAGCTGACCTGGATTATCTGCAGTCTAGGATAAGGTAGGGATGGAATGGAGGGGTGGGTGTTGTATCCAGTCAGTGTGATAAGAGCAGGGCTGGACAAGTGCAGAGCAAAACAGAGCACACAGAAAGGGCACTTCACCCTTCCTCAGAGGGATGAGGGAAAATAGCTTGCAGGAAGGGGAGGTATCTGAGTGTGAAGCTGTATACCCTTCACATTCACTGTAAGAATCTACCAATGTAACTGTTTTTTATTGGTACGAATAGAGTACATTTGTCTTATGCATGCCGAGAAGTCATTGAAAGGTTTAATGAGTGACACTGATGACAAGTTCTTATTAAGACATTCTCCTTTTGCTCACTGTAAGAATCTACCAATACAACTTTTTTTCTGATTCTACTTTATGGTAGATTCTAGCTGTTGTTTTTGCAAAGACAGAGATGTTCAGCTTTGTATACTTCTCTAGTTTAGGCCACTTCCATTCACCTGATTTTCCACTCTGCCCAGATCCCTGTGGTCTGTGCCAGGTTGGTCTGGATAACCACTGTGATCAAGATGCCATGAATATGCCAGCATGTGGGCCAAAAAACTTCTAACTGTACGCTGATCTCAGCCTCCACCTTAACCCAGGACCAATACCTCAGCTGACAGAATACTAATTGACCAGAAAACATCTCATCAATACTGGAACACAGGAACTGGGGTTGTGGCTCAGTGGTAGAATGCTTGCCTAGCATGTGTGAGGTACTGGGTTCAATTCTCAGCACCATATTAAAAAAAAAAAAAAAGATATCCTGTCCATCTACAACTAAAAATATTTTTAAAAAATACTGGAACACAAATTTAAACTATAATTAGAAATATGTGAGTTAGCAAATTCTACCCTCATCCTAGGCAAGGGGAAGCTCTATTAATATTCAGTAAGTTATAGATAATAGAAATTACCAATGAATGATGCATGGCTCATACAACATAGTCAATAAAAGACAATTTATCAATATTTAGACAATAAGAGAAGTGCCTAGGGAAGTATGTCTATTTTCTTGCATATATCCAAAGTATCTTTGGAAAGATTTCCAAGAAAATTAGCAGTAATTTCTTCTGGGGAGAGGACCAGAAAGGCTGGTGTCAGGGAGGTGAAGGAGATTTTTAAACTATACTTTTTAGCATCTCTTATATTTTCAACTACAGGAATGTGATAGCTGATTTAAGAGAAGAAAAATAACACTTAAAAATTCATTCAGGCATGCAGTTAAAAGGAATAAGTTACAGTTATAATTACAAAAACAGCTAGTTCTTGGGGATCTATTGTTATTTGAAGAAAGTGTTGCAAAACGTGTGACATGACTTTAATTACCCACTGTGTATTTTTTAGTATATGAACAGAGGCAGGTCTATGTTATCCAATGCAGTAGCCAAATGTGACTATGTACATTCAACTTAATTAAAATGAAAAGTTCAGTTTCTCAGTGGCACTGCCACATCAAGGGCTCAAGAGTCACACGTGGCTAGTGACTGCTACCTTAGATGACACATACAGAGCACATTTCTACCACTGAAAGTTCTGCTGGACAGAACTGGTCTAGATGAATCATCCCTGACAGATAATTGACCTGTGGAGCTATAATAACGTGGACAGGACTTCACAAATCTCCATATTATTTGGTATTTATTTTACAGTTACTTTTGTACTTTTACAAGAGAAAAAGGATGGCTTGCACCTGCAGCAGGTATTTACTCCTCATTAAAGCTCCATATTTTATTATTTTTTTCTTGACTCTTGACATTCCTCTCAGTAGCCACAAAGAGTGGCCAGGAGAGCTGCATTAGTTTTGTGTCACTGATGGCGCTGAGGCAGGCTAACCTTGTAAAGAAAAAAGTGAGCTGTACACTTTTGGAGGTTCAAGGGCATGGTGTAGACACAGGCTCAGCTCTGGTGGGGACCTTACAGCATAGAGGAAGAAGCTAGACTGGGAGCAAGAGACCAAATCACATAGAGAACCAGGAAGCCAGAGCACCCAGGCAAGTCCCAGCTGATGTAAGCTGTTAGACCCCACCTCTTAAGGGACCCATCACCTCCCAATGTGATCTCCCTGGAGATCAAACCTCTGGTGGACACTTAAACTATATCCAAAGGAGTTACTCTGGTAAGGGGGGTAAGGGAGATGACCATTGTCCAGAATGGACACAAGCCTAGGAGCAGCCTGTTAGGCTATGGTTTTCCTCATACCTTGGCTTGCGCCCTTCTGGACTGTTTTTCAGTCTTATGGGGGTGAAAAATAACAGTTTAAGGGCCGGTTGGCTAGAGAAGTAAAGGCTGAATTATTTTTAGTTCTTGGCACTCTGGAATCTGGTGGAGACAGGGAAGGCACTGGATTGGAAGGCCTACCTCCAAAGGACCCTGAGGTCTCCCAAGAGACAGGGACCCGGGAGGGTGGGAAATGACACTACTCCAAGGTGGGGACAGTCATCCTGGTAGAATAGGAGGATAGAAGGCCAAGTTCAAATGCGACCTTGGAGTAGAACTGGGACTATCTGCTCTGGGGCTTCTCAGATTGGAGGAATGACAGAGATAAAGAGAAAGCTGGAAGAAAGAGATCAGATGCACTAGAAGCATGACCAGGAAGCAGGTGGAAAGGAACACGAGTTTTTCATCTCAAATAAACCTTGGATTGGAAATGTTAAACATCCTCCTGGTTGTCATCCACAAAACAGAATGAGATGAAATTTCCTAAGATTATAAATAAATGAGACATACTTTGAAGCTCTGGTTTATAGTTGCTCTGGGCATGTCAATCTCCCTCCACCTGAAGAAATTTATTCCTTGACCCAGTTTCAGTTTTTTTTCTCAACAGAAATAATTAAAAAAAGAAAAAAAAAAAAGGACACGATATTTTTAAATGTAGCTGTTTTGAGATTTCGCTTCCTTTATCAACCTGGAATTTCAATGGACACATTTGTCTTCACCCCTCTTTTCCCTGAAAGATTTTGTTTGTTTGTTTGTTGTTGTTGAGATAGCAGGGTCTCGATAAGTTGTTTAGGGCTTAGCTAAGTCGTTAATGCTGGCTTTGAACTCGCAATCCTCCTGTCTCAGCCTTCCCAGTCATTGGGGTAACAGGCATGCCACCCTGTGCCTGGCTTCCCTGAAAGATTTTAAAGGGTCATTCAACAGCCACATATTCCCATAAACATAGTCCAGGCTGGTAGGCACCTTCACCCTGTTTTCTTCTGAGAATGGCGATCCTGCCATACTGTTTTACACCTCTACACCTTTGTGTGTGCTGTTCCCTCTGTCTGGAGTATCTTCTCCTCAGGAAGAGACCACTTGCCTTCTACTCCTAAGATTCAACTCCTCTGAATCAGAACTGATGTCATCTACTTCCTATTGTGGTTGGTGTGAAAATTGGTTGAGGATGTATTCATCTCTTGCATGGAATTGTGATTCCCCCACAAGGTCAGAAAATGCTTGTTTGTCCCTGATTCCCAGTGGATCCAGTGTCTTAGTAGATGTTGGTGGCCTCTGATGTCCATCTTATGCTGCACTCCCACAATCACCATACCATTCCCTTTGCTCAAGTTAATGATATCACGAAGCCAGTCTCGTGCTACAGGAGAAAAAAATTGCGGTAGGTTGAGTAATGCTCTCCTCCCCCAAAGAGGTTTACATCCTTATTCCTGGAATCTGTGGATGCTGCCTTATATGGTAAGAGGATTTTGCAGATGTGATCAGTTAAAGATTTTGAGATGGATTATCTTGGATCATTTAAGTGGCCCTATGGAAACCACCGAGTCCTTCTCAGAGAGACAGGAGATCAGCAACCAAAGGAGAGAAAGCAATAGGAGAATAGAAGCCAAGGAAAGAAAGGTGGGTGGCCCTGAGTGGAGGCATAGGGCAACCTTTAGAAGCTGGTTCCTTCTGGAACCAGCCCTGCAGACACTTAGTGCAGTAAAAACAGAGAATGACCTCAGTCTTCAAGGAACGGATTTTCTTTCTATCAAGGGAGGAAACAACCTAGGAAACAGTAGTTAGAGGTGAGAGGTAATGAAGGTCCACATTTG